TTCCAAACAGTGTTCGCATTGGACATACTTTTTTTGCCGCAATATCAGAGTATATATAAAACTATGAGAATATGAGCCACCGGCAGAGCTTTTCTAGGTTCAAGGACAAATTTGAAACAGCCGCACATTCTGACTCATTGAAGGAGATAGATCATATCAAAAAAAGTACTTTTATAATATTTGTATGAAGAAGAAAATAAACCATTGTCCAGGGCACGGCAAACGATAAATAATGAATCGATGGTTTTCTTTTCATTGTTTTCACCCATACTCCTGATTATCAACCGTTGTTAAATCTCGAAATTTGGGGCACATCGTTCATCGTTAACGAACTAGAACGAACCAAGATTTTTTTCACGTATCGGAACCGATCAAGATTTTTTTCCCCTTTTTTTTCACAAACTGCAACAGATAGATTTTTTTTCAAGCCAGATCGGTTAGAATTTGTTCGAGAACCGGACCGAATCAAGTTTTTTCCCGGATCGGAACAGATCAAGATTTTTCTCCGAACCAGAACGGATCAATTTTTCCCCCAAACCGCAACGGAACACGATTTTTCCCAGATCCAGAACGGATCAAGATTTAATATGATTTCTATGGCCGGAAGGGGTCAAGAATGTTTTTTCTGTGACGGGAAAAAGTTTGGCATTTCATCTCTGTTGGCAGGTTATAAAATGTCACTTTCCATAAATTACTTTTTTCCCGTGGGAAAAAAGTGAGTACTTTTTTCCCAGATATATATCACATATATATACTCTGTTAATGGCTTTTGTTGTGCTATAGTTCCGAAAAATGAGCCAATAATACCGTCTCCGAGAAAGAACTGCAAGTCCTTTTATCTTCCATTCGACTTCGCGGTTTCGTATATTACTGAACAACTACTGAATTCGCAATTTTTTAAATCAAATCACAGAATTGAACTGACAGAAGTGACATCAGATATTTGATTACTTCAAAAGAATGATAAAGATGCCTATAAAACGCAGGTGTCCCTACTGTTAAAAACTTGAAATTTCACGTCGATAATTTTCAGATTTCGAAATAATGTAATATCTTCTCAATATTGATTCGTCCTTCCTTCTGTCACAGAAAAAAATAGTGTATTATACACGGGAAAAATATTAGATTTTAGCTCACGGTTTTTTGTCTCCCTCCGCTACGCGTCGGGAGACAACACAACCTGGAGCTTAAATCTACTACTTTTTTCCCTTGTATAATAAATAACTATTTTTCTGTGACGGGAAAAAAGTTTGGCATTTCATCTCTGTTGGCAGGTTATAAAATGTCACTTTTCATAAATTACTTTTTTCCCGTGGGAAAAAAGTGAGTACTTTTTTCCCGGATATATATCACATATATATACTCTGTTTATGGCTTTTGTTGTGCTATAGTTCCGAAAAATGAGTCAATAATACCGTCTCCGAGAAAGAACTGCAAGTCCTTTGATCTTCCATTCGACTTCGCGGTTACGTATATTACTAAACAACTACTGAATTCGCAATTTTTTAAAATCAAATCACAGAATTGAACTGACAGAAGTGACATCAGATATTTGATTACTTCAAAAGAATGATGAAGATGCCTATAAAACGCAGGTGTCCCTACTGTTATAAACTTGAAATTTCACGTCGATAATTTTCAGATTTCGAAATAATGTAATATCTTCTCAATATTGATTCGTCCTTCCTTCTATCACAGAAAAAAATAGTGTATTATACACGGGAAAAATATTAGATTTTAGCTCACGGTTTTTTGTCTCCCTCCGCTACGCGTCGGGAGACAACACAACCTGGAGCTAAAATCTACTACTTTTTTCCCTTGTATAATAAATAACTATTTTCACAAACCAGAAACCAAGATATCCCACCACTAAGTTTCGTACTACTTCGATTATTGATTCCTACTAAGCAGCTAACTACTTTAGAAATCATAAGGAAACGTTGACCTCCGGTTTGATTGATTAAAATTACACCTGTCTAATATAATGGGTCGTTATATTATGACTTGACGTTGAGGTCCAGAGAGACTAGACACAAATGCATATAGTGGAACTATATCAATCATTATAGCATGAGCACGATTTTGATTTGGGCGCCATTTTTTTCATATTCTGGTTCCCACGAATTGGGATATCCTGTAATGTTCAGAAAACATATATTTGTAAGCGTGAATATTCATTTAGGAGGCAGCATCACTTATAATGTATCTTGAGGTAAATGACTAATACTTTCTCGACATTTTCATACATTTGCACTCGTGCAGTCCGGCGCCGGCCTGTTCTCATTTTATTTACTTATCATTTTAGCTTGTTCTTTTTCAGCTTTTGGCACTATATTTTGCATAGGCTTCAGTATTTGCCTTATTTTCAAACATGTACGTGTTCTTGCTATATACGGTTTGGCGTAGTGACCAAATTCGGTGTTTTGTCCACCAATATGTGTCTCCGAAATTGCATCCACCAATGTGATTTCGACGTTTTTACCACTTTCGGCTCTACATGTTCAACGATCTTCCATCTCCCAGGTATCTTCCAAGAACCAGATAACGTTGTTCATTGTCTAAATTATCAATATCTGGACTGTTTGAGAAAACTTCTAAACCAAAATGGATATGACATTTTTTGTATAATTTGTAAGATTCTTCAACATTTTTGTTGTGATGAATATATAGGTATGTTTTCTCAGCCAGTTTACAGTTATTAATTGTCTCTCGAACCAATGAGGATTTTTGATTTCCAGAAATCGGATGAAAATGCCGAAAGTTACAGCTTGTGGTGTTTTCTATAAGACAGTCTGTAGTAAAAGTTATAATTTTGAACAGCCGAAAAGTAAGATATAGGTACTTGGCGCACCCGTTAAGAAGACATCAATAAGTAAGTTAATCTAATATGAAATTATGGAAGACGAATGAAAAAAGATGCCTAATTATAAAAAATGAAGGTTTCAGAGATTTTGGTTACGCTACTGAATCACCAAATAATAAATATCCAACACAAGGTCATCATAGGAGTAAACAACCAGATCTATTTTAGTAGGAATCAGCGTTTAGGAATTCATCAATTTAATTGGATGTCGCCTATTTCCAGAAATACCTAGGCTTACATAATGTTGTTTTTTTGGAAAAATTCCGATGATTTATTTTAGAACTAATAAGGTCTCACTCACAAGCTAGGCATGTCATCTAGGTGACAATCTGACAACTCTGAGAATAACTAATTTTTTCTAGGTAGGTTCCTGATGAACTAGATTGATCTTTTAAAGGGTTCCCCAACTTGAATGAAGATGGCAGTGTGATAGCCAGAAAGCCAATTAAAGTAAAGACACAGGAAATACCATCTTCAATATTTCGATTGCTATATCTGACAGTGACGAATAGTTTATAGCTACATTTTTGTGTTTGTCTCATTCACAATTTGAAATAAATAATGTCTAATAAGTTTTATATGTAAATAAATACCCTGCTGAATCACTACACTAACAGCGCCATCCAGAGTTCATTTTGCGAAGCCTTATTATGTTTATCAAAATTCTACTACAGTATTTTCTACTATTGAGTTTCCTTTCGTATATAGTTTTTGATTCCGCTATAATGACGCACATTGAATCATTTATTGCAAGGTTTACAGAGGGGGCGCTACTTTGGTAATTCATTCAATAGATTATGGAATTTTTGTCATCATTTTAGATATTCCAAACAAGTGCAATTTAATAGTTGACGTTCTTGGTGCCCCTCATTGGGCGCCAGATTACTTACAGAGGACTGCTTTTTAGCGACAAAGCTAAAATTGTTCTATAATTCAATAGTTGACGTTCTTGGTGCCGCCCCTCATTGGGCGTCAGATTTCTCACACCGGACTGCTTTCTAGCGACAAAGCTGACATTGTTCTAAAATTCAATAGCTGACGCTCTTGGTTTCCCTCATTGGGCGCCAGGTTACTTACACCGGACGGCTTTCTGGCGACAAAGCTGAAATTTACCTAAAATTCAATAGTTGACGTTCTTGGTTTCCTCATTGAACGCCAGATTACTTACACCGGACTTCTTTCTAGCGACAAAGCTGAAATTGTTCTAAAATTCAATAGTTGACGTTCTTGGGACGCCAGAATACTAACAGAGGACTGCTCTCTAGCTACAAAGCTGACATTGTTCTACAATTCGATAGTTGAACTTCTTGGTGCCCTCATGGGGCGCCAGATTACTTAGACCGGACTGCTTTCTAGCGACTAAGCTGAAATTGTTCTAAAATTTAATAGTTGACGTTCTTGGCGCCCCTCATTGGGCGCCAGATTACTTACAGGGGACTGCTGTCTAGCGACAAAGCTGACATTGTTCTAAAATTCGATAGTTGACGTTGATGGTGCCCTCATTGGCCACCAGATTACTTACACCAGACTGCTTTCTAGCGACAAAGCTAACATTAACCTACTGTAGAAGTCCATGTTGTCTCAAAGTGGAGTGAAGTTGTTCATATAGAAACATTTTTATTTTTGGATGTCTTTCGGCCACCTGATGTGGCGATTCCACTGGCTCATCGGGGCACAGGGCCCCTGTTCATAACACCTGTTACAATAACAAAAGTTTACATTTTCATAAAATTATATTTTTTTGTAACTTCAAAAACATTCCACAAACATTTTTCCTGCTCCACAATAATTTTCTCAATCGGCTGATGATGGATACTCTATAGATCCGAAACATGTCCTCTTTCTAAAATTGTTTTAAAATTCAATAGTAGTTGACGTTCTTTGTGCCCCTCATTGGGCGCCAGATTACTTACACCGGACTGCTTTCTAGCGACTAAGCTGAAATTGTTCTTGAATTCAATAGTTGAAGTTCTTGGTGTCTCTCATTGGGCGCCAGATTACTTACACCAGAATGCTTTCTAGCGACTGAGCTGTGCCAAGCTGACGGTCAACTGAGGAGTGAGCAGTGTTGATTCCTGAAAGTTTTATGCAACCGACCCTTACTATGCCAGCTGCTATAAAAAATAAGAATAAAACAACGATAAATTATTGATTTATTAGGTTTTCTTAGCTTTAAAGATATCGTTTTTTGATTCCTACAAGCTAGGACCAATCAGTCCCAGTACTTGATCAACCCGTCCCACCCCGCCGAAATCATTTTACTCGGTTCATGAGGGTGCCACAACACCCCGATGCACACGTTATCGTGAGCCTTCCACTTCTTGTACAGCTTGGTGGTCTTCCAGTCCCAAATATAGCACTTGCCGTCCGCGTCTCCAGACACCAGATAGCTCATGTCGGGCGAGAAGTCCACGGCGCACGCGTACCCAGCCACCATGTGGCCCGTGAAGGTCTTCTTGCGGTTGATCTTGAAGCGGTTCATGGCTGAGAAGATGACGATCTTGTTATCCATGCTTTGGCAAGCCAGCCACTTTCCTGCAATTCGGAAGGGAAATATGCAATAATAAGTGAAAATGTATACCCAAATATCGGGAATCTATTGTAGACAAAAACTCTTTGTTTCCTTTACAGTAGGGAAGAACCGCCTAACTAGGCATAGTTCCCAAGTAGGCATATGTTCGGCTACATACGATTTATCTATCCTGCCATATTTCGAATGTGCTATTTGTTCTTTGAACCTTGTTTCTATGGGTCGCCTGGTTTGGCCTATATGTTTTATCACAATCATTACAACTTATTTCGTATATTCCTGACTTTTCAAGTGCGTCCGCTTTATCTTTCGGATTGCCTTATAAATTGCCTAATTTTGACCCAGACTGATAAACGCTTTCAAAACCTAAGTATTTGAAAACCTTATCAAGTCCCTTCGTATACTTGGGATTGAACGGGATTGGGATTCTTCTTCTAGAGTTCTTTTTATCCACTTGAAAAGTCGTAGAATTTCGAAGTGCTAACTTAAATTTTTGTCTACGTATTAATTGATCTAGTATTTTTATATCATAGCCATTGACGCCAGCCACTTTATAAACAACACTTCTTTCAGCATTGAATCTTTCTTTGCTCAGAGGGAATGAAATCAATCTATGTACTAGAAAATTCAAACTTGCCATTTTGTGCTGAAAACAGTGATTAGGGTCATTAGGTACTTATCTAAATGTGTTAGTTTCTTTTATAAAAACATCAAATTCTAAGTTGTTTCGCTTCCTTAGATATACTCGTGATCAAAAATAGCGAGAACTTAGATACATACCTAATGTTTTCAGCACAAAATGGCAAGTTTAAATTTTCTAGTACAAGGATTAATTTAATTCCCTCTGAGCAAAGAAATATTCAATGCTGAAAGAAGTGTTGTTTATAAAGTGGCTGGCGTCAATGGCTATGATATCAAAATAATACATAAATTAATACGTAGGCATAAATGTGAGTGAACACTTCGAAATTCTACGACTTTTCAAGTGGATAAAAAAAACTCTAGAAGAAGAATCCCAATCCCGTTCAATCCCAAGTATACGAAGGGGCTTGATAAGGTTTTCAAAGACTTAGGTTTTGAAAGCGTTCAACAGTCTGGGTCAAAATTAGGCAATTTATTAGGCATTTCGAAAGATAAAGTGGACACACTTGGAGAGTTAGGAATATACGAAATAAGTTGTAATGACTGTGATAAAACATATATAGGCCAAACCAGGCGACCCATAAAAACAAGGTTCAAAGAAATATGGCACGTTGGATAAATCTTGTGTAGCCGAACATATATTCAATCACAATCATGACACACATATTACTAACCTCAAATTAGTTAAGCAAGTTAATAATATTAGAAAATTAGACGCATATGAAAGCTTAGAGATATTTAAGAATAGTAATAGAGTAATGCATAAGGATAATGGACCCATTCCATATAGCCCTCTATATAGTTTAGTAATATAAAAATTAGTAGATTAACGTGTGAATTCAACCATGATAAACATTAACTTGACGGTTAGTATTTTTCACGGTTGGGAGAACATATACCTAGTATATATATTTAGTTTTAATCTTCTCCTGAAGATGCTAACATAGTTAGCGAAACACGTGTCGAGGCGTTTAAAAAATCGGTTTGGTTAGTGGTAGAACAGTGTAGTGTGTAAGCAATGCTATTTTTACATGCGGGTAAAAATAAAACATCCTGGAAATTGTTAGAAATTGATTTCTGGTGTTTTACCGTTAGGAGCAGGCGTTACAGCAGGCATGCTGTGCATCGTCGGATCCGCGATATACTTCATATCCACAGGAATGTCCCACTCCCACACCCTCAAAGACTTGTCATCGGACGTGGTCACGAATCGTCTGTTGTCGTCTACGAACGTGATCGAGTTAACCGCTCCCAGATGCCTGAAAGGAAAAAAATAAAGAGAAATATCTTTTAAGCTTAATAAGGCTTTTTCACTCAGGCTTCATAGTTGCGCAATACTTGGTAACAATGTCGTGCCAAAACTGCACAACGAAAAATACTAGTAACATTCGAAATAGGGGTACCACGTAACCGATTTAAGTTGGGAAAACTGGATAGCGATGCCCTATTTATTTGACATTTGTAGAAGTGATTTGCAATGAACTCAATACAAACACCTGGAAGGGAGACGGCCGGTTTCTCGAATAGCACAAAGTGTGCCAGGCCGTTACCACCGATAAAACAAGGCCAGCAGACTCTGACGTAATTAGCTCGTGACGTCGCATACTCAGGCCATCTTCCAAGGCATTCGCGTCGATCGATCGTCAGTTTGTTTTTGATTAAGAACGGTGGCGTAGGTTAATCGCGTGTGCTCAAATTCCCTTGTTGTTTATTCATCAAAATAATTGGCGGAGAAATTACTGTTTTGTGAAATATTTCATGTTGTGATAGGCGAAATAACAATGCCTTACAAGTGTTGTGTTCCCTTTTGTCGGGGGAATTATGTGGGTGGTCCAAAAGTTCATGCTTTTAGTTTCCCGTTGGACAAGGAACTATCGAAAAAGTGGGTACATGCAATTCACCGCAAGGATTTTACGACTCCATCTGAGTACAGTAAAGTATGTGAATTACATTTTACGAAGGATGATATTATTACTTCATCTACTGCAACCGATTCAAAAACTGGCAAAACTGTAACAATAGATTTGAAAATTCCTTGGCTCAAACGAGATGTTATTCCCACTCAATTTCCCAACTGTCCATCTTATTTATCGAAAGATGTAAAATTACGCACAAGTCGTGATGAAAAACTTGAGATACTAGAGACTAAAAATTTGGCACAAGCACTTACCAAAAGTGAAACTGAATTCGAAAATTACCAAAAATCATTTTGCTACACAGAATTTCAAGAATTTCTAGTTGTATTAGAGTCTTTTCAGTTGCCCGAAAAGTGGTTCAAAATTATCCATTTGCAAAAAGTCACATTATTCAAATTGTCTTATTCTCCAGGGCCCGTAATTACATATTAAGTTGTGATTGATTTTGTTTTGAATGTAGAATCATTTTTGTATGACCTAGCGATACAAACATCTCTAAAAGCCAATCTGAAGACACCTTTTATCTCTAATAATATCAATCAAATCGAGGAATTACTAATTGAAATAGATAAAAACGAGATACATAATTCGGGAAAATGTCTTGATAATCAGAAAAAGAGGGTTTTGAAACATATTTCGAATGCATTGGACTCTTTGGTTTCCGACTCGGTTTCAGATCTTGATGAAGATTCCGAAAACACTTCAGCTTTATTGTTCCTCTCTGAGCAAATTAAATTACATACATCCTGCAAAGACGATATCGTTATTCGAATAATACTATAATTTTAGTCTCTATAATTCATACAATAAGTCCACATGCTTATAAATTTTTAAGACATTTTGGAGTACTCATATTACCTCATTCAGGTACAGTCAAATCAATATGTAGTTCGTTGTTAACAGATCCTACATTCGAAGAAAGACAAATGTCGTTATCTCATGCAGAAAATGTATTCAAGTTATTAGGTGAGCGTGAAAAATATGTCATTTTAATGATGGATGAAGTTCATATAAAGCCATATTTAGATTACAAGGCAGGCGATATTGTAGGAACGGCATTTAATAATTCATGTTTAGCAAATTCCGCATTTGTCTTCATGATAGCAAGCGTTATGTCAAATGTGAAAGAAGTTGTTCATATAAGTCCAACATCAAAAATAGATCATCTCATGATTTTTTCTTTGATAAAGAGAGTCATAAATAGATCAATCTCACGATAAGTTTATGTTCTGCGGGCCCTGTATAAGTAGGTGTGAAGTTTACCTTCACCACAATTTTTGCCAATATATTTAATTCGAATGGGTTGCTGTAGGTGGATATTTGTGTTTTATCCTGGTTTTTGCTTTGAAACTTCGTTTTTCCATAATAAAATCGAATGGGATGCGAAGAAGGGCTCAGTTGACGACTGGCATCCTCTTTCAACCGGAAGCCCTTCAAAAAAAAGCAAAATCGGCTCAATAATGATCTAAAACTAAAATCGAAATACGCGGTCGCCTTATAGCGCTATAAGCGCTTGTCGTTTCGAGCCGCTGGTTAGGCCTGACTAAGTGACGTCACCCACGGAGCATGCAGGCCTTGTTTTATCGGTGGTAACGGCCAGGCACAGATGCAACAAAGATACAGGCAAAAAAGTAGAGACAGAACTCGATTGTTTTTTGTTATGTGAAACATCGCTAAATTTGGCGTGTTTTGTTTCTTCAAAAGGACTGAATTTGTTGGTGTGAATTGATTATTGTTGACAAGATTTGTGATTTCGAATTAATAAAAAATGGTTATTTATATTGTGTTGCCTTGGGATGCAAAAATAAGCAAGGCAAACCGAAATTGTCCTCCATGGGTAAGTTGAAAATTGTTCAGATTCTTTAAAAAAACTATAGTAATTTAATTTCAGGATGTGTCTATAGATATTCATAACTTGGATTCTAAAGACAATGTTTTTCATATGGACATCGATTTGCTTACAATATCTAACTCCCATGTAAGTTTCAAAATTTATTGATAATGAAACCCACAAACTGTCTCATTCGAGAAGGCCTATTCTATTGCAAAGAAAAGTGAAAACACTGAAACAAAAAGTGAAAAGGAGAATGACAATCTTGATGAGGTACTAAAAAACCATTTTGAAGGTAAAAACTACAAGTTCAAATTAAACTCAAGAGTTATATCATAATATTGTCATTTCAGATTTGTCTTTGGAGCTTCTTCTCCTACAGGAAGGAAAAAAATGAAGGTGTACATTCTGCGCGACGCAGATATTCATCTTTAAAGAAAAAATTCGTCCTAACATTTTACTTTTATTCATTTTTTATTCACCTCTCATTCACCTTCTAATAGTGAAATGTTTATGGAAAAATAGGTACTCAAAATTAGGCTTAAAATAGACTTTAGGTACTCGATACCATTCAAGAAGAATTTTTTCTATCGTTTTTCTATTTTTTCTGATAGTGCTGAGACATTGAGCTTCGCTCACCCTGTACAATATGTTGTGCTATATATAAGAGTTAGAAAATTGTATTATTTGATGTAAGTTCATTTCTGTAGATTAGGGTAAAAAATTGTATTAGATTATTATAGTGTTAGTTTATTGTGATGACATAGTGGTTTCATGAGTTTTTGTAGGTTTTCCTCATGAATTATATTGTTAATATTGAAGTAAGAACAACTTTTGTTGTCTATATCATTATTTCCAATACAAGTAGATGCACCACTATTCATTTTCCCAGGAAATAAAATTAATTGATCTAATTTCTATTCAATTTCACAAATTTATAGTGATTGAAAAATATCCAAACCGATTGGATATATACCTAAGCTCAAAATCGAATTCGAAGGTTTTATTATTCCCACTCAGTAAATGTGAATAACGATGTTTAATCAAGAAAAGATGAATTCAAGACATAATTGTGTATTGGTAGGAAAATAAGTTATTAATAATGTTAATATCTGTAATTGTTTCTTGATGTTGTTATATAATAAATCATTCAAGTTATTATTTTTTATAAGAATTTCATTACCATCAATAATTTATATGTTCTATGACCAGTATAGGAATTTCCTTTTGGGCGGTCCAAGAGATAAAAAAAATATTGCTGAACATTCAGAAATAAATGATTTGAAAAGGAACATTCTCAGATATATTTATGAACACAAAAAATGGATGTATATAAAAAGAAATACATTGAGAATTCGCATTCTCCATGTGATGAAAATATTAATTCTTTCTCGGTGGTTTATTCAACAGAAAAACAACTACTTTCCTGGCTATATGCCACGACGAATATTCAGAATTTCTTTCCACGCCCTGTATGATGAATGTCAATTCATCATACATAAAAAAAATGATTTCTTGTATGTTAGCTCAATGGGGAAGACCACTGATTTTTTAAAACGGCATTATCGTGAACTCTATACTGAAAAACTACCAGTGAATTAATTTTGAATTTTTTCATTCATGCTTAGACGATGAAAAAATAAATTAGCATATGTCCATTTCAAAACACACAATTCTTGTGCCATTTGCAATTTCATCAATTCATTGGTGTGACTGGTGCGACGTCTTAGTCCCAACACGCCTATTGTCCTTGAACTGACCAATTACACTGCAACACTGCAGAATGACGAGGTATTAGAGAGAGATAGCTACAGTTCGGGACTAATACGTCACGACTCCATCATCATATTTGGCTGTTTGAAATATCAAATGAAATATGCTGATTTCAAAACGATATAGATTCGATTCCCTTCAACTTCAACTCATAATATTGATTGTACATAAAATGTAAATCATGATTCGTCGATTGAAAGAGGTTTGCACGGATTTCTTCCCACAGTGGTCTTCCCCATTGAGGACCATAAAAAGTCTGAATAGAAAAATCTCACATAGCTTACATAACAATGCGCGAAGTATGTACTTCGTGCATCGTTTTACTTCACGCACTGCTTCGCACATGGTGTCATAGTAAGGAAGGAAACTGAAAGAAAGTGTCACTTCGCAAATTCTTATCAAGGCGCAAACCTTGTCATTCTTGAAGTTTCCAGAAAAATACCTATTGTATCACTCAGAAAACATTTATGGATTGAGTGTATTCAATTGAATACAGTATGAGCCAAGGGTTAAAAACATTGTCTGCTAAATATGGAGAAAAAATCTAGTGAGCTGGAGTATCTGGTCTGCCCAAACAAGGGAAATCACCTACAGGGTTCTGTGGCCGATACAGTAGTGCCGCCATACGGTCAACTCAAGGAAACACTCATTTCAATTGTTTTCCTGTCAAACCTACATAACCTTGAAAATCGTAAATGAGTTGAGCGGTGCTCTCGGCAGTCTCGGCCGGCGGCGTTTGTTCAGTGAGTTTGAGTTCAGTCACGGTCACTCAGTCACTCAAAAATTTGAAAAATCATTCCGTTCCAAAATGGTTGCTACAGACACTACAATAGTTACCAATTTTGTAACTTTCAACACCTAAGTAAATGAGAGGTAGAATCAGAAGTATCGATTATTAGCTTTTGATCAGGGCTCTGATTTTCTTACTTGTAATGATCCTGTAACACTCAATATCGAATGTACCCACTTATGTCACAAACACCAGAGAAATATCAGTTGGAAATCCATGAATGGAGATGGTTTCACAATTTCTGGTAGGCACAATAAGAGGAGACAGAGTTTGTTACACATTGATAATCAGAATAAACTACTATAATACTGGGAGCACAACACAAAACTATATCTGTAAACGAAAGGAATATCAGAACAATGAGAATTGAAAAAGAATGATATTTTAGAAAAAAATACAAAACAAGTCACGATGGCATGACAGCTTTAGACAGTGACAACTTACATAACCACAAATTTCGAAATTTTTCTAGAAAAAAGTGACGATCATTTCGTACGATACGGTAACATCCTCTAGTGGCCCTACACTCAACTGAGCTATAGGGAAGACCAGTAGTTCCAGCTCACTAGATTTTTTCTCCATATTTAGCAGACAATGGTTAAAAATAACCAAACATGTATACATGTCGTACCTGTCGTACTCCTGTACTATATCGCCGGACCGCGAGTCCCAACATATTATCTTCTTGTCCGAGGTGCCGGCGACGAACAGGTGTTGCTTGTTCTTGTCCGGGTTGAATTTCACGCAGTAAGGGATCTTCCTGCTGGTGAACCTTGATAGCACTTGTCCTGTTTCCGTGTCCCATAATTTTATGTACCTGAAAAAAATTTGGTAGGGTTATAAAAGGCGATTTGATGTATTTTATGCAACACTTTCATGCGCATTGTTCACGCTTTAGACTGATCAGTGATAACATTTTTGTTCGAAGCTGAAAAAGAAGTTATTTATACAGTGTGTCCATTTAGTGCGTAATTCTTCGATATCTCGAAAGCCATAACCTATAGAGAAAAACTTCGGAAAACAAACTTTTTCAGTTATTAAAGTTGCTCATTTCAAAATTATTTTCAACATTACTGGGTGTTTTATAAAAGCAGGGCAACTCGAAGAAGAGGTTCACCTTCACATCGCTGTAAAAAAAATTTAATCGGTTGCGGCGTTGCCAAGTTATAATTGATAAATCAATTTTTACCCTTATTGAAGAGTCATGTTGAATTGGGCATGGTATATTAATTTATTCAAATTTTGAAAATATTTTTGGCATACGGTAGAAGCAAGGTCCAACGTATACCAATCCAGTAATTTTGCGACATGTTCTTCAATAGGGTGCTCAATTTTGCATTTAGAATTTTGCAAGATTCAGATGACATTCATCAGAATTTTTCAAAAGGAACAACCTGTATTTTCATTCAAAAATTCATTCCGACATCTTTCGTCTTTTTATCGCTGGAAAAACAATCGGAATCGGTTGCGGCGTTGTCAAGTTATGGTTAATTTCCTTATGTTCATTGTGGAAATATTGCGTTGCTACGGTATAATCAAATTTGTTCATTGACCATTCATATATTTTCTTACAAAAGGAACATTTACAGGCTCTCCAAGTTTGATTTTTTCCAGAAATATTTGGGTAATGACCTGTCAAACATCGCCACAATCGAATATATCTTGGATTAATTCGACATTTTGCTGAATTCCCTCTCAAAATCCGCGTAGTAGACACATATTGTTTGTATCATTATGTATACCTTCTTCAAGTTAAATGGAGATTTGGACTGTGGGAATAACGACAATAAAAATGGCCCAAATTTCAAAAACATTTCCTAATTTTCGCGATCCGAATCTTCATTGTTTGTATTGTAGAAGTTGTTTCAAAGACACTAAAGACAGGCGTTGCTTTTGGCATGTCTGTTTGTTTCATATATTATTTGAATCATAAGTAACAAGATTACGGAATATTTCAAATTTGGACGATGCACATATCACAAAAATACCTGAATGATCTATGTAGAACCTCGAATGTCATGTGGCAAGCAATATTCCCACACTCGTATCAAATTAAGGAACCATCATGACGTACAAATTACCCCGAAATAGTAGTAAAAATAAGGAAATTACTCATAACTTGAAAACGCCGCAACCGATTTTGATTTTTTCTTCTGCGATGAAAAGGCGAATGATGTCGAAATAAATCTGTGATGAAAAATACAGGGTGTTCCATTTGAAAAATTCTTATGATCGTCGTCTGAATCTTACAATATTCAGAATGTAAATTTTAGCACCCTGTAGAGGATTATCTCGCAAGATTACTGGATTGGTATACGTGAGACCTTGCTACTACTGTATGCCGAAAATATTTTCGAAATTTCAATAAATAAATATACCAAACCCAATTGAACATGACCCTTCAATAAATTTAAAAATGGGTTTATCAATTATAACTTGGCAACGCCGCAACCAAATTCATTTTTTTTTACAGCGATGTAGAGCTGAACTTAAGCGGAATAAATTTCGAATGAACAATACTAGGTGTTCCATTTGAAAAAACTCGTCTTCGAGTTGCCCCGCTTTTATAGAACACCCAGTATTGTTGGAAATATTTTCGAAATGGGCAACTTTAGTAACTGAAAAAGTTTTTTCTCCAAAGTTTTTCTCTTGTGATAATTGATTTCGAGATATCGAAGAATTACGCACTAAATGGACACACTGTATATAAGGGTAGTGATGGGTGATACCCGAGTATTTATGATTAAGGGTAAATACCCAGGAGCTGGGTATTTATGAGGATATTTCGTATTTATGAACTTTTCAACAGAAAACATGGAAAATTGCTATTTATTACACTATTTTTGAAGATCTAATGTCTTGAAACAGGTTTTTCAATTTGACAACCTTCAAAACAACCAAAAACTCTGACAAAAGCAATGTTTAGATTGAAAAACTCTTCATGATCCCACTCCCAGTGGTCTGGGAACTGGTATCTGGTAATCTGGTACTACAGAAATGACACCCTTGACAAAAAACTATAATAAACAAGAAAATCTATATTAAAAAATAACTACCCACTGGAAAAACAAGATAAAACGTATTGATAAAAAAAACTGACTACCATCTTATGTCAGAGGAACAAGGAACAACGAACGTAAAAAACAAACAAAAAAATGACTTTCAGTTTTCTCTTGTGAGCCATGTGTAAGAAACAAATACAAATAACAACTTAGAACGTACTAACTCAAATAAATAGCCTTAAGGTATACCCACCCAAAAGTGGGTATTTACTTACCCTTAGGATAAATACCCAAAAGTGGGTTTCGCCCTCGTCGAAAGATAATATCCGATGGACCAGTGTGAAACTCATGTATTCTAATCCACAGACTGGTCCATCGGATATTATCTTTAGAGGGGGACGAATTATACTGGGAAATATTGACGTTCTACCACTAACTTAGTTTGAATCGCGGTACGTTGGATATTCGCAAAGACGACACAATCCCATTTTATTCACTTCTTGTTTCAACTCGTTATTAAATCGCTGTGCCACCATCGCTGTGCTACTATCAAATCGCGAAATCGAGTGCAAATTTCCGCACAGGAAAGTGCAATTTTTCAATCATTTTGCTCAGGATAGTGATTGGCACAGGTGCCGTTCGATGAAATACAATGTTTTTACATGGCTCTGTGAGATATATCATTTCAATATCAGATGACGGTCTGGTTAGAAAATTAGACACATATGATAGTAGTTGTTTTCTGTTAGGTATTTCAACAATGGTGGCGATTTATTTGATCCATTCTGGTAACGGTGGTGGGAACAGAATGACGTTTACAAATAAAACGAGAAACTTCATGCTTCATGATCTTGCATGAGATAACTGACATATTAGAGATGAAAGAGGTTATTGAGGCTCTATATAATTTCAAAATCATAATACTAGAGTTAAAAACCGAGGAAATAAATTAAAGATATTCAGGTGATTGAAAAAAGTTGTCCGAGATCGAAAGAATCAATTTCATCTGGGAATGAAGATATGAAACTTGCCCTACTGAAAGAATCATAAGTTGCGTTTTATTTATCCGATTCCGCCACCGGAATCAGTTTGATGTGTCGTTCTATTTGCAACTTTTCCGATTCCGGTTGCTACTTTCCATTCCGTCTCACTACACGGAATGATGTGGAATGACTGTTGACAGGTGTCAAAAAATCAAATTAGATTGACGAAAAACGAACCTTTTTGAAAGTAAGACATTTAGAAGACATTTTCAGCATGAGTTCCACTAGTTCATGATTCTTTCAAGTAAGACATGTTCCATATGTTCATTCCCAGATAAAATAAACTCTGTCGATCTCAGAGAAGTTTCTTCAATTACCACAATCAGTGCTCCAAATATTAGTTGATTCATTTTCTAACCCCAATAAACTTAGCAGAACCACTCCAATATTTCGGATTTGCAATAGTACTGTCCTGCGAGGTGAACGTGTCTGTCTCGTATCCTCCAAAATTCCAATTTTTCTGTGTTCGGCAAGTTTTTAAGTTCGTAATTTTTCAAAACTTGAATTCTAGAAATGTGATGTATGTGTGGCTATGAAGGTATGTTGATAATATGTAATCTTGAAGACTTGAGACCTTTAAACTGAGTCATCACGTTTCCGTCTGTACCGAGAGTCTAAACGGCTGAAGTTCCGTTCCACCAGTGGTGTCATTAAGTTCACTTGTCTTCGGAACGAATAATGACGAATTTATCAACTGATGAACTTTATGTGCGACTAATGCAAGCAAATGAAGATCAAACTAAATCTATTGAGAAATCAATTCAGAATCAAACCACAATATTGAAGGAAGAATTCAATTCTCACTTGAAAGATATTACTGCCAAATTGGAAAGCACGAACTTAGAACTGAAAGAAGTGAAGAAGAATAATTTATTTCTGGAACGTAGAATCCGTAGAAATAATATTATTATTTTTGGTTTAGATGTTGACAAGAATAATATACTTCAAGAAACTCTCGCTAAACTCAACAGTGTTCTCGGCCTGGATATCTCTGAGACTGAAATTAATAATATCTACACTACAGGCAAAAATCCGAACCCTCCTGTCATACTGGAATTCATATCCTATTTGAAAAAATCCCAAGTATTTTCTAAACTAACAAAACTCAAAGGATCAGGCATTTCGATCACCAATGACTTATCTGTAGTAGATAGACAGCAACAGAAGTATTTGAGAGAACATTTGAATAAAGCTAAGAAACAAAAACTAGAAGCAAAAATCAAAGGAAACACGCTGATAATTGATGGAAAAGTATTTACAATCAATGAGTTGAAGGAATTGGAAGAAAAAGCTGAAACTGATAGTGAATTCGAAGGTGCTGAAATTAACGAGCCAGATCCTGTAGGCGAAAACTCTAAACGATCAACACAGGGTGCATCATCAAACATCAACAAAAAAAGAAAAATAGTGTACAGCCCGAAAACGCAGTCGACCTGTGGTGGAACAAGATCTCTCCGAAGTCTAGCAAAACAGAATTAACATTATCCGCGTTTTTGTGATTTGCGCGTTTTTTAGTCGAGTTTTTGCTCATTTTCGAACCATATTCTTTTCATACTTGATAAATTGAAACTAGATAAAGTATATTATTATTAGGGGTATCGTACTTCTGTTTATCCATATGTAAATCAAACCTTCCTTACCTATATAATATTTCACTGAACTAATTGAATATTTTTGAAATGACCAGTTTAGCCATTGGACACTTGAACATAAGATCACTATCTGCTAAAATCACGCATTTGAGAGATCATCTCTCACTTTGTCCATATGACATAATGTGTATAACTGAAACAATGCTCCAGCCCAACATTGAGGATCATTTTATTCACATCAATAATTACAAACTTTTTCGTAAAGATCGATTGGGTCCAGGAGGTGGTGTATGTATTTATATCAGGAGTAATTTTGAAGTAGTTCAAATTAACAATTTATTCGTTGAAGAAACTGAACAAATGTGGATATCCTTTCAATATAAAAAAGAGATTCTTGCTTTAGGCGTGGTATACCGGCCCCCTAGACAGTCAATTAATGTTTTTACCACAGAATTTGAAGGTACTTTATCCGAACTTTCTCCAGCCTACGATCGAATCATTTGTTGTGGTGATCTTAACTTTGATTTTCTCAAGCCTGACTCCCCTGGTACTATTAAAATTCAAAATGTTATTGACTCCTTTGGACTTGTTCAAATAGTTGATAAACCTACCAGAGTGTGCCAAACTACAGCAACGCTTCTAGATATTTTTTTGTGCTCAGAATCTGTCGACGTGGCTACATGTGAGGTTTTAGACAACATGAATATTCCGACTGATCATAGCATGATTGTTTTGCACATTGACAGGATTTTGAACCATAATATGAACGAAAAGTTCACAACAAGAAGCCTTAAGAAAATAAATATGTCGAAGTTTCAACGTGACCTCGTATCCTTACCTCTCGCAGATATGTTTATACTTAATGAAGTTAATATGAAACTGGAAGTATTTCAGAGTCTCATCACAGGGATCTTTGATATTCATGCTCCGCTCAGAACCTTCAATATAAAAAAGAAAAAGTACTGTCCATGGCTCACAGATAATATGAAATTTTTAATGAAACTCCGAGACAAGGCGCTGGACCGATTTAAGAAAACAAAGAGAGTCGAACATTGGCAGTATTATAAACAGCTTAGGAACTTTACACGTACAGCCATGAATAACGAAAAAAAAGCATATCTGGCATATAAGTTCAATAGTCACAAATCTTCGAAGGTTTTGTTCAAAGAGTTAAAAAATCTGAATATATATTCAAAATCAGTTGCCAGCAACTTACCTGAAGCACTTTCGCATAATGTTGAAGGAATTAACGATTTTTTCATCTCTATGTCGAATTCCAACAATATGCCGGATAATGAGTTGCTCAACAATCTCTCCGAAAACGTAATGGAGCATGTATCCGAATTCAATTTCTCTCTCATTGACGAAGATACTGTCTATAGTTCCTTGCTATCAATTAAATCTAAAGCTATTGGTGATGATTCGATTGGAATAGATTTGCTTCTTCTATGCTGCCCCTTGATTATCCCCTACATCACTCACATTTTCAATTTTTCGATCGAAAGTGGTACATTTCCCGATAAATGGAAAGTTGCCAACGTAATACCACTAGCAAAAACAAAAAACCCACAAGAATTCAAAGATTTACGACCTATCAGCCTTCTCCCTACACTATCAAAAGTATTCGAAAAAATTTTGAATTCACAAATTAAAAAGCATCTTAGTAGGTATAACTTGCTGCCTGAAAATCAATCCGGCTTTAGATCTTCACATAGCTGTTCCACAGCACTGCTAGCAGTAACCGATGATATTTTGTCAGCAACTGATAAAAATAAGTTAACTACACTAGTTTTGCTAGATTATACTAAAGCGTTCGACAGGATCAATCATCGCTTACTGCTGGCAACGCTTCATAACTTTGGCTTTGGTAAGAACTCTCTTGGACTTATGAAAAGTTATATTGTGGGGAGGAGCCAGTATGTTAGCCACAAACTCAATAGGTCACCAGTACTGCCAATCCCCAATGGTGTCCCGCAAGGCTCAATACTAGGTCCACTCTTATTTTCTATATATATCTCGTCCTTCTCAAAGTGTATAGACTATAGTAAGTGCCATTTTTATGCTGACGATACCCAAGTATATATTTCTTACAAAGAATCAGAAGTTGAAATGGCTAATAGGATGCTGAATGCGGATTTGGATAATCTTTTTACACTATCAGAAAAATACTGTTTATCTCTCAACCCCTCCAAATCACAGATAATGTTATTCGGAAGCAAACCAGCTAAATTGAGGTGTGTAAATCTTGTGGATATTAAAATTAATGGCATATCATTGGTTCCAGTGAATACAGCAAAAAATTTGGGTGTATATTTTGACTCGGACATGAGATTTTCAAAGCAAGTGAATCACATGATTAAAAATGCGTTTTACAAACTCAAGCTTCTTTTCAACAATCGCAGCATTTTCGATAAAAATACAAAAGTTACTCTATGCGAAACCCTGGTACTATCTCATCTTAACTATGCAGATACCGTGTATGGGCCTTGCCTGACTGACGAAAATCGCAGAAGATTACAAACTGTTCAGAACAGATGCGTCCGTTTCATATATAACATTAGAAAAAGACATTCGGTGTCTGGTAAACTTTTGGAGTTGAAATGGCTAAATATTACAAATAGAAGGTTTCTACACTTGGCATGTTTATTTTACAAAATTATTAAAAACCGAGAACCAATATACCTAGCACGCAGGATATCTTTTAGGACAGATATACACAATGTCAATGTAAGAAGGAAGAATATCCTCACAATTCCACATCACTCCAGCTCCATGTTCCAACGATCTTATTCTTACACGATTTGCAAATTGATGAATGGCTTACCCTCTGATCTTATGGAATTGAATTTCAAGAATTTCAAGGAAAATTTGAAAAATTTACTGTTACTCAATAATAATATCATACCGAATTTCAATGTCTAAACTTGGTACCTTTCGATTTCTCTCTCAGAATTATATTTATGTTTCACTTATATTTTAATATTTGAGTATATTTGGTTGCAATCAGGACTGATTATTTTAGGTACCTACTGCAGGTTTGCTTCGAAATTGAAATATTTTTCAATGTCATATCCATGTTTGTATTAGTTTATAGTTAACAGTTCTTGGTGCCAACAGAACATATTAGTATTATCAGAATATACTTATTAGGTAATCATCTTATTTACGTTCTAACTGTGCACCTCTTCGAGGGTTATAGGGAAGATTGGGATCAATGTACATTTATGTACATTGAAACTAACTATAGCCCTTTTCAGTCTCAGTAATTAATATATTTATTATGTTATGTTAAAAATGAAATGCATATTACTGTAGTTTATTGTTGTATATTATTGCTGAATCACTGAATAAATGACTAAATAAATAAAATAAATAAATAAATACTATAATTTGTTACTTATTTATTACTAATTTAGCATCATATTCGCAAATTTATTACTCTTCATTAAACAGAAAAAACCAACGGCTCTGCTAGCTTTATGTCAACCTAGCAGAACCATAGCTGAAAATTTAATATTTTGAAAATTTCAAATATACCATAATTTATAACTATTTTATTACTAACTTATAACTATAATCACGAATTTTTTACTCATCATTTCAAGGAAAAAAACGACGATTTGTCTATCTCGATCTCAACCTAGCAGAACCAAAACTCAAATCACATGTTTTTTGAAATTCTGTTGTATTATCGATATAAGTTACTAATTTATTACCACATTGGCCAATTTCTAGAACTTCATTCAACAAGGAAACCCAACGGCTCTGCTAGCTTTCTGTCAACCTAGCAGAGCCATAGCTAAACAATAATATTTTGAAAACTTCAAATATACCATAATTTATTACTGTTTTATTACTAACTTATTAACATAAGTAATCACGAATTTGGTAATAAATTAGTAATGAATTAACAACTAATTGATAATTCAATAGAATTTCAAAAAAGATGTGATTTGAGTTTTGGTTCTGCTAGGTTGAAATCGATATAGTCAAATAAACGTTTTTTTTTTCTAGAAATGATTAGTAAAGGTTTGTGAATATAGTCATAAGTTAGTAATGGTGTATCTAGAGTTTTCGATCGAAATAGTAAATTCTTTGCTATGGTTCTGCTAGGATGACATAAAGATAGCAGAGCCGTTGGTTTTCCCTGTTGAATGAAGTGTTAGAAATTTACGAATGTGGTAATAAATTAGTTATAAACTAGTAATAAATTAGTAACTTATCGATGATACAACAGAATTAAAAAAAAAACATGTGATTTGAGTTTTGGTTCTGCTAGGTTGAGATCGAGATAGTCAAATCGTCGTTTTTTTCCTTGAAATGATGAGTAAAAAATTCGTGATTATAGTCATAAGTTAGTAATAAAATAGTTATAAATCATGGTATATTTAAAATTTTCATAATATTACATTTTCAGCTATGGTTCTGCTAGGTTGACATGAAGCTAGCAGAGCCGTTGGTTTCTTCTGTTTAATGAAGAGTAATAAATTAGCGAATATGATAATAAATTAGTACTAAATTAGTAACAAATTATAGTACTATTGCAAATCCGAAATATAGAAGTGGTTCTGCTAAGTTTATTGGGGTCATTTTCTAGATTCTCAACTCTAGTATTATGCTTTTGAAATCATTTGGATCTCCCATATACAAATAAAACCTATTATGTAAATTCTCTCAAGCAAGGTTATGAAGTTTCTCGTTTTATTTGTAAACGTCATTCTGTTCCCACCACCGCTACCAGAATGGAACAAATAAAACGCATCTATTATTGTTTTTTGTCAATCTAATCTCATTTTTTGATAACTGTCAACAGTCATTCCACGTCATTCCTTGTAGGGAGAAAACGTAGCAACCGGAATTAGAATAGTTGCAAATAAAACAACACATTGAAGTGATTCGGGTGGCGGAATCGGATAAATAAAACGCAACTAGTGATCTTCTTGTTTTTCAAAAAAATATGAACCCACCTGTCATAACCAGCAGATAGAAACTGTTTCCCACTGTTATTAAAATTAACGTCTCTGACTGCCTGTCGATGTCCATAATAAGTCCTAATGCACCTCCTTTCGTTATACACCTCCCATATTTTGATGCGACAGTCCATGCTAGCTGACAAGAACAGATGCGCCGTTTTGGGGTACCACCTGGAAGTTATTTCATGAAAAAAGTAATGAATGATACAATTTTGAAGACTGTATTTTGAAGCAACTAGCTTTTAGATATGAATTATGTGTATTTCAACAGTTCAATAGTCATATTCATAGGTAGTAAGGTACTCGGATGTTTTCTTTATAGTGTATTGTTGAAGAATTTATCAATGTCAAAATATGTATTCAAGTTGCCAAATTTTATGAACTATACAGGGTGTCCTATAAGTCATGAACCAAAAGAAGTGGGGTAATAGGAGGGGTCATTTGCAATCAAACTAAAGGTATATTATGTAGTTATCAAATTGTTGATGTTTTGAAAGTTCTTCAATTTTTCTGAAAAACGCGACCCATTTGAAGAAATGAATAACAAAAAGGCTGCTTTGAATAACCCCACATTTTATTTATTTATTAAACAAATAACTTCCAGACAGAATAGGCTCTGGTATAAGGAAGTACATAATTATATACCTATAGGTAAACATAGCATCATTCAAAATATATCAACAACTGTGAATTGGCAAACAAAGAATATTTGTAAAAAAAAAATTCTGCAATTTTTTATATTATCAGGTAGTTTATTGAATTCAGTTAAGGCTGAATGAGTGAATCTTTTTTGTCCGATTAAGGAGCTAGCGGCGTCAAAAGGGAACAAGTTATATTGTCTAGTTTCATGATTATGAATCTCAGAATTCCGTATCAAAATAATATTCGACTTCAATTTTTTATTTATGATATTATATGATATTTTGAGAGTTTCAATTCTATATATTTCATCTAAAGAATACGTATTTGTTATTTCATACAATTGATTGGTTGGTGTATCAAATGGGAGACGATACAATACTTTTAAAGATTTTCTATATAATGTTGATATTTTATTGAAATTATTTTTTGAACAAGATCCCCAAACATTTATTAAATAGTTGATACGACTCAGTATATGAGAGTAGATAATCATGTTTGCAATTTTAATATCAAGTTTGGGACATCTTCTCAATGCACCAATAATTGGAGATATTTTTTTTGTCAGAACATCAATATGTTTGTCCCACTTCAACCTGTCATCAAACCAAATACCAAGATATTTTATCTGGTCAGTTTGTTTCAAGAGTTCATTTTTTATTTTAAGGTTGAGGTAAATTTTTTGTTTATTTTTTTGGTGAAAAATCATATATTCTGTTTTGTTAGTATTTATCGATAAAAGGTTAGATTGGAGCCATTTTTCAAATATTTTCAAGTCTTCATTTATCATATTTTCTAAATCTGAAGGATTCTTGCCTTCATATAAAAGTACTGTATCATCTGCATACATGGTATATTCACATGCTAGACCAATTTCACTGATATTTTGAACATAAAGTAAATATAGTATAGGTCCTAAAACAGAGCCTTGTGGGACACCCTTATTGATTAATAGTTTATTTGACACAGAGTTGTTTGATTTTGTATTGATTGTCCTATTTTCAAGATATGAATTCAAAATATTTCTCACAGTGCCTCTGAGTCCCATTGTTTCTAAGTTTTCTAAAAGTGTTTTATGATCAACTGTGTCAAAAGCCTTTTTGAGATCAATGAAAACAGCTACCACATAATTTCCTGAATCAAGTCCTCTCTGGATTGAATCTATCACTTGTAGTACTGCTGCTTGTGTTCCACTGTTTTCTTGAAAACCAAATTGATTAGAATCAAAGCTATATTTTTTGTTGATGAATTCTACGATTCGTTTCATGTTATACCATTTCGGAATCTGTATTAAATGGCCAGCTTCTTCTTATAACTAATATAATAATATATCATGGGAGCAAAAGTTCATTTTTCCTCATGTGTGTTCAATGCAATCAAACTTCACACGCTGGATTAAATGGATACCTCTGCTCCCTTGATATATCAAAAAATATATTTTAGAGAAATGAAAAAAAATTAATAACTCTACAACCATCAACAATGGGCGTGTACACCTTAGTAGAACTTTCAACTCAAACCAAGTTTATAATGATCCTTTTATACATAAATAATGATTGACGACATAATTCGATTGAAAAATTAACTGAAATGTTTTATTCTTGGACATAAATAATAGTACCTTCTGAAAACGGGCCCTCTTATGACGTAGAAACCTCATCTCGCCATAGTTAAAAGAAAATACTAAACGCCCCACGGAGACTGAGGCAACTGATATATTAATTCTTTCAACTGTGATCTCGCGCTAATTCACTCTGTCAGAAATCATGTATCATTCATCTCTGTCTGGAATAGTCTTGTTTCAGTATTAGGGTTTTGACGTCACATCATCGCCTCGTTTTCAGAGGTCCGAAAAATCGGGGATTTCAATAATTTTTTATAAAACGTAGGGAGCTCACAGCAAGAAACGGTTTGTGGTAGTGAGCTAGTTTGGATGAGTTCTATCGAATTATGAAATAATTTTTTTTTGTGATATAAGCCCATTGGATGACAACATAAACAGTTAGTTTGATCGGAAATGACCCCATCCTACCACCACACGTCTTTTGAACAATGACTTATGGGACACCCTGTAGAAATAAATGAAGTTAGACCTGATAGCGGACACCCCCTTCAGATGGCCCGACCAAGTGTGGATGTGCGATTTGGGTAGGAAGCATTTGTCGGGCGGCAGATCCGATTTGAGATTGACGCCGACATCTTGCGGGGCGTGCAAGAACGACCTGCCTTGATAGTCCACGGCGTCCTTGATGTGGAGCACGGACTTTTCCTCGATGGGTTTATCCTCCACAGGCTTTCCTGGGGAAGGAATTTCGAAATAATAATTTTTCTAACTAGTGCGGAAAGACACTTTCTGCATGAGTTAGGGACAATATTTTTTAGGCAAGCGTAGAAAATTGATTGATTTGTTCAATCAATTTATTCCTGCAAATAGGAACAACAATAGTGATATATTCTATATCTTATAATAATTAGTGATATATCTATAGTGTGTACCGTTTGAAGCATTATATGTAGGTAAGCTTATTGCGGAAGCCAGCATGCCCATGGTGTTTGGCCTCTAGGTTTCAGACATTTCTAGGAAATGAGGCAAAAATAATTATTTTTTATTTGGTGTTTTCACTTCTTCATTATTGCACTATTCAATAAATCCCGTGTAGTGCTTCTCATTGCTTTCTTGAGACTTCGTTGGCAATAACTCATCTGTATCGCATCTGTAGCTAGAAGTTTTTCTCATCGCAATTACCGAGGGGCAAACAACTCTCATAAAAGTGTACACCATATTTTAAATATGTGATATTTGTAAGTAATGAAAATATTTGAAAAATATTTCGAAGTAATTAATGTAATTAAGAAGAACTGAGGAGTGATAAAAAAGGATTTGGAATCAATCAGAGAACTTGAGATTCAACATACTTTGAAAGGAATTGAAAAGAATATAATGATATTATGAAGGTATTTTAAGTAATGAAGGAAACTCTTAGTTCAACATAAAATAGTATTAATTCTTAGAATCATTATTCTCTATCTACCAGAGCTATTGAACGTTCCAAAAATTTGCAGTTAATTTGATCCATTCACTATTTTTTCGAGGCTGAAAATGAAAAAAATTACGCCAATCTCGTTAATTCGAAATGAGGTAATTTTGTGCTTATGGAGGTTCGAAAGCATGTCGATCAATATTATGGAGTTAGTTTCCTTGCAAAAAAATTTCTAATATGATTTTATAAGAACCGACCCCTTTATATTTCAATAAAAGGCACGGCACTGTCCAAAAGGCTGTTCGTCTCTGGAAAACTGATCATATTGATGGTTATCCATATCGGTTCAAATCTGGTACGAATCGCATGACTAATAGCTGAGATATAGAGTATTTCATTTTTTTGTTGTTGTATTCGTTGATTTAGATAAATATTCGTCAGCGAAGAAACATCTGTGGTAGAGAAATTTTTTGAAAACTGAATTCTTGAAGTTCTCAAGAAATTGTTTTCTTTCTCTATGGAAGAAAAAGCACTAGAATTTATTGCGCCACTGCAAACCTCTACTGTAATAGAGACTAGTAATCGGCAGAGATTATACACTGTAATCGGTAATCCAGTTCAGAGAGTCAACCTCCGGTCTATACAAAAACTCAAAAACACCGTTCCGAATTTTCTTGTGCTCATCGGAATTCAGGGATTCACTCAGTTACTAATGCGAACTTAGGCAGACGAGGAATGTGAACAATCCTGAGTCTCCTCAATACGAACTTAAAAATTATGTAAGGAGACTTCGAAAGTATTCTAAGTAATGAAAAATAGAATTACTGTAGGTACTGAAAAAGTCATTAAAATATTCTTAAAGTAACTAAAATATTTGAAAAGTAATTAAAGTATACTTGAAAGGTATTTTAAAATACTCATAAAGTATAAGAATACTGAAATGGTAATTTACAAATAATCAAAATAATGAAAGGATTTAGAAAAGTACTTAAAAACTCAGGGTGTACACCATAATTATTAAAGAGTTGTTTGCCCCTCGGCAATTCCACTGAATCGAAAATGACAGTAACGCTCTGTCTGTTACTCTGAGAATTGCACTAACTAATTTGTGTTTTAATTGATATGACTAGTGCGGGAATAGTATATTACACACCGAGGTGGGAAGTGATTCATTCCTCGATTCATTCCTGTCGTGAGATTAGTTATTTATCTATAATCTCGAGACAGGAATGAAACTCCCAACCGAGGTTTCTATACTATTTTATTTACAACCATCATATTTCGATCAAAATTATTAAATCTATGTTTCGTTCTGAACATACCTGAATTATTACATGTGAGTGAGGGCGGTTCAATGACGTTAGTAATGACAACATTACATATATGGTGGTAAATAAAAACATTTATATAATATTCTCGCAAAATATGAGTGGTAAGTGACACAATATGAACATTTTTGGTTTTTCTGTTGCAGTATTTAGTAAGTTTGTACAAAATCATCGATCAAATTGCACTATCTATTGTGAAAATGAAGAAATATTGAAAAATAATAATTGATTGTTATACAGTGCGCATCATAAGTGTTACCCCCCCTATCTAACTCGTCACGGGACTCTTGTTAGGAAAATCGCCGAGACCCGTCGATTTTTGATTTTTACAGTGTACATTTTCGTAGGAATAGTTCACTCTTAATTTCATCCCTTACTGGAGGAGAGCAACCCTGCCAAAAAATTTGAATAGCATGGGATTATAGCTGAAAGACTGGGCTAGCCGAGGGGCTAGCGAACAGTGTGATCCTGATTTCAAATTGTTAAAAAAAGTTATTCATATTTTAACAGGGAAAACATTTTGGGGTGCGACGAAATTAGTGTTATGTAGTTTAGTAATTTATTATACAAGGGAAAAAAGTATTAGATTTGAGCTCCAGGCTGTGTTGTCTCCCGACAGCGTACATTGTATGTACGCTGCTCCCGACGTGTAAATTTGTGTATTTATTCGGTAGATCTGAGAATCAGTCGTAAACTAATTATCAAATTGAAAATTCAAGATGGCGGATCCAACATGGCGCAAGGATTTTGTAATCCGATTTTATTCCAAATTGGTATTTTCGGGGTCGGACATTATGATTCTTTCGACAAAATTTGGAAATTCAAAATGGCGGATCCAATATAGCGGACGAATTTTTCAATAATTATTCAAAATTGGTATCTGGTGGTTTTGGGTCGGAGATTATGATTCTTTCGTCAAAATTTGGAAAATCACGATGGCGGATCCAATATGGCAGACGAGTTGTTGGATTTTAATAGAAATATTGAAAAAGTGAAATGAAGAAGTGACGCCACTGCTTGGTGTTTATGAATATGAATTCTGTTTTGGTTCCGTATGTTAAACTGTCCGCGATGCTCACTCTTGAGATATCTATCACTAAAGCAAGTAGTTCGAACTGTCTGATGTTGTTTTTGTCAAGTACCTACCAAAATGTCCCAATAACTACAATACAATATTTGTAATTATGGCCCGTTTCTATTTAAAATTGGTATCCTGGGGTTATCGCGGTCAAAGATTATGATTCCTTCGCCAAAAGGAGGAAATTCAATATGGCGGACGAGTTTGTTGATAATTATGATCAGATTTTATTCAAAATTGGAATCTAGGAGTTTTTGGAGTTCGAGATTATGATTATTTCGACAAAATTGGAAGAACCAAAATGGCGGATCCAATATGGCGGACGAGTTTTTTAATTATGATCCGATTCTATGCAAAATTGGTATCTGATGGTTTTAGGGGTCATAGATTATGATTCTTTCATTTAAATTGGAAACTCATGATGGCTGATCCAATATATAGCGGACGAGTTTTGTAATAATTATGATCCGATTCCATTCAAAATTTGTATCCGGGGGTTTTTGGAGTCGGAGATTATGATTCTTCCGTCAAAATTGGGAAATTCAAGATGGCGGATCCAATATGGCGAACGAGCTTTGTAATAAATAGTAGTTTGAAGAACTATAATGAAACATGCTTTAATAGATAGCCAATCTCGAGGCCAAACTGAAGAGAAGAAGAAAATATATAGTATAGTTTGAAAAACTAATGAGATAGATTGTGGAGCAAAAAATTAGTAGAAAATAAATAGTAGTTCAAACTAAAGAAACATGTTCTTATGGATAGCTAAACTGAAAAGAAGTAGAACACAAAATATCAAGTGTGTTGATAAATATTTACCTAAGAGAAAAAATATTTTCTAGAAATAATTATGTCTATATAGCAAAACGTTTGCCGGGTCAGCTTTTCTAATGAATAGTAGTTTGAAAAACTAATGAAACACACTTTTATAGATTGTCAAACTAAAAAGAAGTATTTAGAAAATAAAGGATAGTTTGAAAAATCAAGAGATAGATTGCCAAACTAAAAAGGAGTAGAAAATAAATAGAATAGTTTGAAAAACTAAAGAAACATGCTTTTATGGATAGCCAAACTAAAAAGAAGTAGACAAAATTAATAAAAGTGTGTTGATAAAAATTTAAGAACAAAATATTTATTAGAAATACAACGTTTGCCAGGTCAGCTAGTACATTATATGAAACCTCCTATGAAACCATAATATCTCATCCACATTTTTCCAACAATTTTTGAATTTTCTCAGGCTTACATCAGTAGCTTTTATGTTTACTCATGTTTACTATGTAATAATGTGTTTTTGGTACACAGATATTTTAATAATTTTCTCGTCATTTTATGTTGCAGCAACTGGAGTTAAGTCTATCATATTTTGAGATATGATGAAAAAATATTATTTGAATCTTGATTTTAATCATGGATTATTGAATACACAAGGATTTTGTTTTCACATTTTGATGCATCTGCTTTTCAAAATATTATGAAACAAACTGTAAAAAAAGTAACTATGGAATCCTATCATGTTCTGTTGAAATTTAGCAGATATGTTGCCAAGTATCATACTGGGTCAAAATCTGAGAAAAAATCTTTGTTGTTTTTTCTGAGACTTTTTTTTGATTCTGAGAAATAAAAAATACTTGGATTCACACAAACCAAAGTTTTCTCATATTTTTTCTGTTCCAGCCTACTGGGTTACTAATGATTATTTTCTCAAGGGGTTATTTATTACTTTGATTAGCAATTTGTCAGTGCTTCAACAAATCATACTGTATGATATTTACAGTTATAAATGATTGGGGATCTCAAAAATTTAGGAAAATTTCAGAAAACTAAGTGATCTTATGATGCTATTCAGAATCAATCTTTATGTACAGGTACATGCTTCAAATTATTTCATTCATCTGTACAAGAATGGAGGACAATAACAAAATTTAACACAAATATAGTATTCTTCTCACCTTTCTTGGTTTTCTTTGCTACCAATTCATCCAACTCTGCTTGCTCTTCCTCAGTTGGTTTGGCAACCTTTTGTTCATCAATGAACCCTCCCCATGGCCCTAAAAATCCTTCTATATCACTTGGGTCCCCATTTCTGTTACGTTTTCTCTTATCCAGAGGTCTTACTTTGCTGACTTCAAATACGGTTTTGATTTCCTCTGCAGTTGTGCTAGGTTCTGATGCACCTACAACTTTTATTTCTCCATCAATAGTGACTGAGGGATCCAAAGCATAACCATAACTTGCAAAGGTTCTCCTTTGATTTTCAAATTGGAATTCACTAACATGAGCAGCTTCTATATGACCTGATACCATATTCCTTTCTATACTCTGTTGTTGAGATTTGAAAGGATTTCTAGGTCCCACTATTGGAGCAAAAAGCTCATCATATTTAGGATTGAATGTCAGTTCTTTGGTGTCAGGATGTATGAGAATTTTGTCTTCATCAGCACCTGTAGGTGTTACATTAGGTGCTGCAGAGATGGCAATTTGCTTTTGTATCGAGAATTTCGACCTTTCTGGAGGAATTGGTGTTAGGTGGGTAAGTTTTTCCCCATCATCTTTATGGGAGTTCTGGTCTTTGTCAGCGTCGTCATCGCTACTTCCACTATATTGTTGTAATGCTAACATCTAGGCACACTTTATTTCAGATAGATGTATAAAAAGGATGTAATCATTCAAGAGCTGAAATTGGATTTCTGTTTTTTTTTTTTCATAGAGAAAACGACAATAATATTTACTTGCCAATCATTCACACAAAACATGACACGTGACGTAACAGACAACAGACTGTGACATTGACTAGTTCATTGTCAAGTCTGTTCGTCATGTCAGTGTTCAAGGTGCATAGAACACATACGAGGCGAGTACGCAATTATTGTCGTTCTAAATCAACTATTTTCGCGGTCGCCAGGTCATTAGATGACGTTGCGATGATATTAAAAACTACGGGAAAACATATATAACTTACAATCTATGACAGGGCTGCCGAAGTTAGGAATGTTTTCCCTAGAGTCACTGGATGGTATTAGTTTGATAAGAGTTCGGACACAGAAATGACAACGGTTAGGGTTTTTGAATGTTTAGATTTATAAAGTTACACACCTTGCATTGTGACAAGAGCACCATGGTCGTCCCGCGCTTTTTCATTCAAAATTGTTTGAATTTGACAATTAATTTTATAAACGTCAGAATTGAAATAAAATTTCATAATTATTATACTTTTGAGATATGAGCAACTATGGAAATCACTTGCTGTGTAATAAATTGTGCCAATTTTGAAACAAATGGATATCATTCATTCGATTTTTCAAATCAAATATCAAGCATTCTCTTATGGAAGGAAGATATGAAACGGCCTGGGCGGAAAATCAATTTGAAGACGAGCGAAATTTGTGAGGTACTCATTGAAATTCACTTCTTATAACAGCATCTGATTAGAATGAATCTATATTTTAGGCCCATTTTCAAACAGAAGATTTCAAAATCTGTTCAAGAGAATCTGCTGCTCCATCAATTTACAAAGCAGACGATTTCAAGAACAAAATTCCATTATTATCATCACACAAAATACAAAACAAAATAATCATGGAAAAAGGGGAAATGATCGCAAAATTACATAATGAAATTGAAAATTTGAAAACGAAACTAAGAAAAGCAAGTAAACTACAACGTGATATATTATTGAATGGCGTTTTTGGTGCTGACCAAATTCAAAATTCAACAGTGTAAAGTGAATACATATTAATGTATCAAGGGAATTATTATAAGGGCCTTAATTACGCTGGAGGTCATCGTTTTGGAGATATTTTCTATATCGATCCATGTTACTAGCTCCTAGGGCGCTAAGTGAAGTTGCTGAGAACTTTACAAAACCAAGTATTTGGTAGGTCTCGTCAAAATAAATAACTTTTTTCCTATGAAATCTTTATCGAAAGATAATTTATTTCCGGATTTCAACACCCTAGCTGTATCTCCGAAATGAAGCATTTCCAGACACAAGCTTGTATAGACTTTATTTCTCAAAATTGTCTCAGGAATACTTCACTGGAGTACAGTTTCACATACAATGAGGAATTATAGCTATAAGTTTATCCATATGTATATATTTTCTGATATTAAAATGTTGTTACATGCATTTTTTTTATTTATATAATAGTTGCTCTGCTAGAAGTGTATCACTATGAATTGAAGTGGGTGTTTGTACCCTATATCCATTGTCCATCTACGGCTATGATTGATTTGACAGAAAATATAACCTCTAAAATCGTATTTGACAATCAGGCGCTTCTAGGGAAATTGAAAAGACGAAGAGCAGAATATATGTCTTATTCTTTTATTCACTTAAACCATTGTATTATAGAAAATAGAAAAGGACAAAAGTTCAGCTGCGTCCGAACTCTTATCAAACTAATACATCCAGTGACTCTAGTTTTCCTGTAGTTTTGAATGTCATCGTAACGTCATCTGATGACTTGGCGACCGTAAAACTGTCAAATACATACAGGAACTCTAGTATTAGTTAGGGTCCCTTAGGGTACGGACACGTACGGACAGATCCTCGTCTCCTCTCACTCTAAAGTGTTTGTGAAACAGCTATATAGTTCCATCTTTTATATACATTTCATTGTCTTTTATGCGAACTGGTTTTTTAGGTTATACTGAGGACATTGGCGTATCAAACGCAATTTCCACATGATTGTAATTTCTCATTCAACTCTACATATTGAAAAGTATATCAGGGGTGTGTGTGTGGGATTCAGCTGAGTAAACTTGCCGAGGTTCTTCTGGAACTATGCCCGGTATAATTTATGACATCAGGCAGTTTTAAAAATTCTGCAATTTGATGACCGATGACCTATGACCTATGACCGATGATGACCGATGACCAATGAAAGATGACCGATGACAGATGTCAGTTGATGACCGGTGACAGATGACTGATGACGTGTGACAGTTGACGTATAAGTTGGATGAAAACATATACAGTGTGTTCGAGACAAATGAATATCAGAAAAAACAAATACAGAGCGACTTACAAAACCAGATCGAGGCAGATCAAATATCTAAATAAAATATCGAAAAACATTTACAGGGTGACCAAAAGAATCAGAGCCAGATCAAAATCTTATTGATGGAAATTAAAAAAATGTACAGTCGGTTCGGGTCGAATGAATATCAGAAAAAACATATACATAGCGATGGCCGATCACAGATGACATATGAAAGACAGCAGTTGACGACCGATGACAGATGACCGATGACGTGTAACAGTTGACGTATGAGTTGACTAGTGACTAGAGTGTTCACCGAACACACACACACCCGATCGTTACCTAAGCGGCGGGGAGACGTAAACAGGTATATGCTCGGTATATGTAAACAGTAATAAGATGCCTTATAAACATCTATCTCAGTAAACAGGCAGCTTTTCTCATTCTCGAAATGGAACACTAGTGTAGTTGTGCCTTCTTCTTTTACATATATTATAGGTAAGCAACTACTTTTTGAAACTGAAGATTTTTGTTTTGACATCAAATCACATAGTGCTCTCGCCATCGGTATTTGCTGAACTTCGCTATGGGAAAAATGTTGAATAGTATATTGGGATGAAGAATGGCGTGTATCTAAATAACACCGAAATAATTCATGGGGTGATTCCTTGTAATAATATGATGAATAAAGGTCATATAAATATGTGTCCGTAACTTGCTTCGTTTTCGAGGTACAGGGTACCTATTAATATTTCCATGAAAAATAATAGGTATAGGGGCTCTCGCATATCTCGAGGTAGGTATCTATGAACTGTATTTAATTAAAATTATTGATGAACCGTTAAATCCCTAGGGATTAAAGTGTACTTTAATTCCCTAAGGATTTTAAGTACCACTTTTTTTCCAGAAAATAAGGATCTAAAGTAGGTACCCTTTGAATCCCTGAAGTGCATAAAAATTATTTCTTTCATGAAGTAATTCAGTGGCCTATAAGCTATAAAAATGACTCAAGATTTTTTTGTCAAGGAATAACAGAATAAGATTCTTCAAGCACTCTATATATAACATGAATAAGGTGTACCTGGTAGAATGCCGTAAAACGAACCGTTTTCGAGAAAACTAATTTTTCATCTTGATTGCGGATATCGGCGGGCGTAATTTCGGCCGGAAAGTACCTTGGCTACCTGCCCAAAGCAGAGGGCCCATCTAATGACATAAGTAATTTCGGCCGAGGGTACATGTCATGATTATGGGAAATATTGGTTTATGGGTTTACCTTATTATTAAAGATATCCTTCCACATATTATTTATCACCTACTTAAATAGCTATATAATATATTGGGCCGAGTTAGGTCGGATTGTTTAGAAAAAGTAGTCTCCTTCTTATGCAAGAATATTTTTCTTCCCCGTATTATAACCTACTATACAGTGAGGACCAAAAGTCCGTCGCCCCCCCTGTAACTTCTTTATTCTACATATTACAAAAAAATGTTAAATACATAAGTTGTAGGGTTTCATTCGACCTCTTTAATGGTTTAAGTTTCATTCATACAGAGTGTCTCTAAAAAGCACGGTGACTTAGAAGTTAATTTTTTTTAAATACATTCTACCTTGAATTCTGAACAAGTTTGATAAATGGTTTTCTATCAAAAAAGTAAATAGTTTTGGACTTATGAACACTTGTAAATAATTATTTCGACTACTTTTGTGCCAGTTCAATGAGAAAATCGTAACAAATGGATCACAATGTTATTCCACTTTCCTATCCTAAATTTTTGAAAGCTATCCAATGTTGCAAACTGCTGATGGCATCATGTGTAACTTACCTCGTCGTACCATTTTACAATTGTTAGAGTTGTTGAATCTCACGAAAAACACAAATGAAGTTGAAACATTTTATTAACAAATAAGGTAGTCCATAAATACAGATCAAGAATCATTAGAAACTGAAGAGATATTTTAATTTATAACTGAAAACGGTGAGTTTTTATCTATTTCAAAAGATGTTCGACATGTCCACCATGCATTTCTTGACACATAAATAGTCGGGTTGTAAACTCTTCCCTAACATTAATCAAGGTTTGAGGTTTTATTTCTGAACACACTTCAATAATTCGACGGCGCAGTTCATCTAACGACCCACAAACTGTCTTAAAAACTACGGATTTCACATAGCCCCAGAGAAAGAAATCAAGCGGTGAGAGGCCCGGTGAGCGAGCTGGCCACTCTGTTGTACCTCGACGTCCAATCCACCTACCTGGATACCTTTCATCTAAGTAATTTCTCACCTCCCGAAAATAGTGTGGTGGCGCTCCATCTTGCTGAAATGTTACATCCAAGTAAAATTCATGTGGGTTTTGGGCAACGATCTCATCGATACTGGGACTTATTGTGTCTTGCAGCATTTGGAGGTATCTGGGACCATTTAAATTTTCTTTCAAGAATATCGGACCTACAATGTGGCAGGGTTGGCCGATATATATCAAGTGATATACATATATCATGATATGTATCATGATATATATCTGATATTTATTGATTGATATATATCATGATATATATCATTTACTTCTTTTTAACAAAATAAATACCGGAGCAAAAAGTCCTTGATATTTTGCGTTAAAAATGAATACGTGACAACAATGCGTTTTGTGGTTATAACTTACAACTCGGGGAATCCCAGGTTTTTGTTTACTGTTTGTTAGGTACATGGTACATGGTATACATCACGCATACATTGATTTGGTGGAAATC